GCGCAGCATAAATAACAAAACAAGTCGCTAGTTTTACGTTAAAAATCGACATGCTTGCATCGTTTTACTTTTTATCACGGGCGATAATGTAAGCATCATCTCTACGAGCGCGAACGGCAAGCAGACAAATCTCACGTAGAGCCTGCTTCAGAATAACACCTTTCCGACCTCTGCATACGGATGACGTATGGTGTAACTGGACCTCAAACTCCGCCAATATTTTTAGTGGGTTTCCACCGTTACGCCGGTACACCTTGCAATCTTTAACCTCGTATTCATCCGCCATTTTGGCTTACTTGTTGATCCGGGGTGCCATCGACATTTAGGCAAATATATTAAACCATTGGTTGGAGGCGTTTATTCAGACGCCATGATAATTTGTTTTGCTACGACTAGTCGAACCAGCTGTCTGACTAGGCGTCACTGCTTTTATTAGCTGCAGAGCTGCCACTAGTCAAAACTGATGTCGATCAACGCAGTCACGAATGGCCACCCAACCGGTATCCGAGCGGGACGATTTCACATATTCCCGCTAACCGAATTCGACAACATATCATGCGCGGCTTCATCTGACCATCCAATAATCCAGGGCGTTACCTATCTACTTCCTTCCGAAGAAGACCGTGAGGGACTGGCTTACTTGTGACGAATATCATAGTTGACCCCACACGTTGCCCTCACATCAAGCTAGCCTGGCGGTAAGAATATTTAAACGAAAACATGTTGGTTCATGAATACATCAGAATGCATTTAGCAGAGGCAGAAATTACTGCAACTGGCGAGAAAACTTCGCTTGGCTTATCTGATATTATGCGCATATCATTGGGCTTTAGAACGTCTCAAAATGTATAAGCTAATTTGACCAATGTGTCGTGACTTAGATTTTGCCTTTGCATATTTCGGCAATATAATATTCACAATCGCCTCAAGCGAAGATTAATTATGACCATTTATTCGACCAACTTGTAGTGTTTAATACTTAACAGTGCTCATATTAAGACGCGTCGTTTAGCTTTCTCAGCCACCGTATCTCTCCTTCAGCAGTCGTGTTACTACAAAATAAAATTATGGCCATAGAAATATCGTGATTCTTGGTGCCAAATAAACAATCGACCATCACAGATTTGTGAAAAACGGTTTAAAAAACTGTTTTTTCAACAGCTGTTATTGAAAACGTCCAGTTGGATTTTTAATTGCCATTTTCGTTGATTTACTTGAAACCAGACAGTAGCTAATCTAAATGGTGTTTCTCAAATTTATAAAATTGCAACGGCTCTTAGACATCCTTCACTCAAACAACAACCTAATTTTTAATTTGTCAAAAAGGTCTCTGCTTAGAATCTTAAAGTGTATCGCGCAAACTGATCTGCAAATTAGCTCACCTAAATATGGTGCCATAGACTAAGTCAAATATGAACAAATAACAAGCAATTTATACATATTAAAAGCACAGTTGTACAAGCCCCGTTGGGTGTTCTGGTGGATTATCCATGAAAACAAAGTGAAACATGCAATTTGTACGTTTACTGTGGAAGTATGATACTTATCGTTTTTACCACCGCAGCTTTGCAATCCTCGCGTTTTTATAGAATCGAACAGCAACTAGATCCAGCGTTATCTAACTACTTTGAATTTGATTAGGACAAGCGCAGAAAAGACCGATTTGGACAGCGGATCCTATGAGGGAATCACGAAAAGAGAAAATATAACAATTCTACGGAACTCCAAACCGTTGTACCGTTCCGCTATTTTCAATAGGTGACCTCCCAAGTTTGTGTTACTTCTGAGTCGCGGTAAAAGGAATCACCGATAATTTTGGATAAGTAAAATCACTTATTCCATTATCAGGTCGCCTTGTAAACTGCTATAGCTCCAACTGAAATATCACAAACGTTTTAAGCTTTGCTCGTTTGGTTGATTGCGTATTTCATTGAGGTATTTGAAAGCCGAACGTTGTAGCTGACTAAGTGCATTGAGGTCAAGATTCAGGTATGGTTTGTAGACTTGAATTGTGTGTGCGAACTGGAGAAAAATATACGCACGAAACATCTGTCAGAAAATAGAGACATGTATATACGCGAACGATCATCGTAACAGACCTACACATTGAATACCAGCTTTCTATGCTTTTCGGATTGCTGACCAAATTAAGTTATCCTAAACCAGTGTGCCCAGTTCCCGTCCGACAAAAAATAATTGCGGTGTGTTTACTTTAAGCCATTACGAGAAGATGCACATTGATATATAGAAAGTGCCGTGCATTTGAAACGCAGCATTTGTTGATTGTATACTGACGTACTGTATCTTGGTCACACTGAGGTAAATTGTGCACGGCATCCGCCCGAATTATGCTCTATATCTTAATACAAACAGCGAATATTAAGACATGTTGTACACTTATTTGTAAAAGGTCTTTAATGAATGCTAACTCAATCCTGGCCATAGTAGTGTGCTCTGAGTCACACGATATCAAATTCTATCGGGCCAGATATGGAGCTTGGGTTCAGTCCTCTAACTACTACTGAAGTAAAAAATTAGTCATCTAACTAGAGTGTGGGTCACCGATGTCGGAATCCTGAATAGTCTATATGAGTATCCGATGATCTGAACGCTCTAATATCTAGGACTAATCCAAATGGATCACATTAACATCCAAACCAAGGTCTGCTGAATTGGTCCAATTACTCAATACCATTAATACATTCATAGTGCACGACAGACTTAGACGAAACTCAGTTGCTCGAGAGCAATAACGTCACAATATTTTCAATAACAGACCAACGCATGTATATTAAAAGATTACATTGCTTTACACAGCAAAGTAGGTTGGGATACTGAGTGGTAGTTTTAAGGCTTTGTCCTTCTTCTGCCTCTGGAAATCGCAGTTATTTTTCCGAGCTTCCTCATAACAGTAACTTGGTTTACTTTTATGCTGAGCTAAAATAATTGACGCAAAGTTATCGTCAGTTGCCATTTTGCTGGTGCTAGGGCTTTTGCGAATGGTATCTTAACCTAGGTTTCGTTCGTTACGCAGAGACGTCGGATTTTGCTATAAAAGCTTAGGTACTAAAGGAGCTGTAGACCAACACTAACGGTGGAGCAACGAAGCTATAAGGTCGGCTTTATGTAAGACGCTCTAAATTGTTGGAGCATTTTGCATGGGCGTTGCGTCATTTGTTTCTATAACCGTACTTGTTAGACCGTCAGCCGTCCGGTGTAGCAGAACTCACTGCCTAACCTTGAGAACGTTAATGACATGATATCACAGCATTTGTGTTGAACGCGGAAGGCTTTCGCGATGATTTTTCTGATACGCGTCTTTGAATTCTCTGAGCAGTTGAGTGCAGTGGCGACGTTGGGCTATGGAGCTGTTTGCATATCAGCATTTTGCTTTGATGCATGCTCTTGCAATGCCATTTGGATTGATATCTTTCATTTCTGAATTATATCCTGTTCGAAAAGAACCAGTATGAGCCCATGTAATGCACCTGTCACTAAAGTATTATTAATCAGAGAATCAATTTTTAATGACGTTTTCCAGCCAGGCGATGTCCGTCGGTCTTTGGAACAGCGGAACTTGGTTAAGCGGTATTAGCATGTAATGTTCGCACAATCTCAGGTTCCTCATTCGATATTCGACATAACAAATGAGTTTGAGAAGGTTAACTACAAGATCACTGCGACACAACGGACAGTTTACCGTCAATTTTACAAATATACGCGACGTTGGTAAGCACAAATTCCAGCGCCGATGGTCCATTACATGTTTTGAAACCAGTGGAAAAAATAATCATTGTGTAAAGTGTAACACAGCTTGAGAGCTTTTATATAGCAGCACTGAAATTTTCTCAGCTTATTGTAAGAGCTGTTAAAAATGTACATTGAAATCACTTGTTACCTTGATCAGAATGCACTTAAGTTTTCAAAATGCCTTCGGAGGGTTTTGCATTTGGTGGTCCATAATTGGTAAAGATTAGTGGAACAGTTAACAAAGCGATAATTTAAGCGTTTTCACCCAATGAATGCAGATTTTATCAAAGCGCATTGGGAAAACGTGTGTCTTATTAACCACGACTGCGCAATGTAGGTCGCATCCGAAATACTATATTAATCATATGCTCTTTGTAAGCCTCTCGTTGAGGATAAGTTACGTGCCCGTTGCCTGACGTTTTGATAGGGTATTGGTAATGCTACGTGTAATAACCAACTGCCATCGACTCTCTTAGCCGTAGGAAAGAATGGGCTTCAAAATTTATTCATCCCATTACAATTTAGAATAAGGTTGGAAATCATATACTGTTTTTGCGAACAAATTGAATGTGTTCTTAGACTGAGCGCAGACTTTACACGCGTCTACCCGACCCCGAGAGAAATAAAACAAAGGACACGTCCTTTATAAACAGCAATTTTACTGACCTTGAGTAAAGCAAAGTACATTTTCTGGCAGCCGCGTTTATACCAAGATTGGGAAATATGTGATGTTTACGTGGAATTGTTTGCATCAGCTAACCGTGGAATCAAGGCATAAGCGAATGAATTTACAATACAAGAATGTATCGGCGGGCAGTGTCCTGAAAAGGTAGGCAAGCGAAGTAACAATGGTCACTGTCTTCTCACGGGTACTAAAGCCAGTGCTTGACAAGTCCTGTAGAATAACTGGAGTAAACAGTTTAAATCCAAAGGAATGGCGAATGGTCCGTTCAACAAATACTGGCTTAAAAGCATTGCTGTATAAAAACAATCTCAAATGCGAATTGAATATGCTCAAAGAAAGCAATATAGTGAGCGGTGGCTTCACGTGCTTCGTGAGAGAAAATACTAAAAATGAAAGCGTTTACTCGAATGCAGAGTTTAATAACTCTTGTGATATGAAAGTCAAGCTTGCTAATTATGTACTATCGTGTAGTATGCCCATTATTATTATATATTGTAAAAAGAAACGCAAGCGGTACGCTTTAAGCGAACAATTGTTTTCGATTTATTCGTCATCAGGCTTTTTACAGAAATATACGTTGAGAAGCGGAGTTCATAGGGGAAAACAAAGAGTAACTATTGATTGAACAAAACATTTTAAGTGCTTAACGTAACGTGTCAGGTGGTCAGGTGACTGAAGGCATGTGATACCAATGAGTGAAGTCCGATTCATCTCTATTACTGGCTGGCCAGGGTAGTTGTAAGGCTTGTACATGTTGCTTCTGAATGCATAGGTTTGGTTTTGTCAACCTGATGCATACTGCTTCAGCGGTAGCGAGTAGCCGAGCTCCTGACCGATGGTGTAGCTGTGATGGAACTCGATAGAGGATCTCAAAAGACTTGCGCTTATCAATCAGATGATTGGTGCAGATCAGATGGTTGGTTATGGCACTCAACTGAGTTTTCTCTCGTTGGGTGGCGAGTGACGTTGGTAAATGTTCCTTGATTCGCTTTTCCAAATGTCTGGTCGTGCGCCCAATGTACCTAGCCCCACAGGAGCAGGTAAACCGGTAGACTACCATTGATTGGCGTTGATCAGGCATCTTGCATTTGAACCTAGGAACAAAGAGCGAACTGCTTGTAAAAACGATCCTCAGTTGAGCTGCATTAAAGGTCTTCCGGCAAGTCTTTATCAGTCGTCGTGTGCATATTTCCGCCGGTATGTCACCTTTAAAGGGGAGTTGGAGCAATAGCTGTTTCTTTTCCGCTGTTTGTACTGTTGGTTTTGGCCTACTCGACTTCATATGAACGTCAATGAATGGTTCTGGATAACCGTTTTCGCGAAGTGTTTGCTTGATTTGTTTCATTTCTTCTTCAATTGTGTCCTCACTGCAGATTTTCCGTGCACGATTGGCTAGTGTATGTACCAGTGTTCTTTTTCGGCTTATTGGTACAAAACTTCGGAAGTGTGTGTACTGGCCTGTCCAATACGGCTTTCGATAGACTCCTATCTGAATTGATCCATCGTCTCGTCGCTTTAAGTTTGCATCTAAAAAGTGCATTTGGTTATCCATTTCTTCTTCAATTGTGAATGCAGCGTTGGGATGTGCCTTGTTAAAACACTCGACGACATATTGCAAGTTGTTCGTCTGTTCAATTATGCAGAACATGTCGTCAACGTAACGTCGGTAGAAGCGTAAGCCTGAGATAACCGATCTTAGTGGGCCATCCTCTAACATTCCCATATAAACATCAGCCAATAGTGGTCCAAGAGGCGATCCCATCGCTACCCCATCTACTTGTCTGTACAATTCATTGTTGAATTGGAATTGGATGTTATAAGTGCATCTAAGTAATAGCTGCTTCAGATGGACAGTTGGTATTTCGATCTTTATCTTGTGCTTCTCAATGTAAGTAAAAAGAAAGTTAACTGTTTCTATAAGTGGGACATTCGTGAACAGGGATACGACGTCCAAAGAAAACATTCGGTAGCCTAGGATGTTCATATTTTTAACGTTTTCCACAAATTGAAATGTGTCTGTTAGTTGATGAGGGGCTATTCTTTTCCTAATAGGATCCAAAATACACGTTAACCACTTTGCGATGGTGTGATATGGTAAGTTCCTCCTATCTAATATCGGTCGCAATGGTGCACCTGGCTTGTGTATTTTTGGGAGACCGTAAAGGCTAGGAATTATGGAGCCGGTGGGTCTTATCCTTTCATATCTTTCTTTGGTTATGTGACCATCAGTGACCAGTGATTTCAAACACTTTGTCAGTTGTGTTTCGGCGTAATCTGTTTTGTCCTTCTCTCGTTCACATCGTACGAATTTGGAGGAGTCCGAGAGAATAAGCTTCATCTTTTGTACGTATTCTGTGCGGTCCATGATTACGGCTCCTGATCCTTTATCTGGCTTGGTGATAATGATGCTCTCGTTTTTTTGAAGTTCTCTTAAAGCTTCGATGTGTGCCTTTGTTAGTAACCGGGAATGTGTCATGGGGTATCGTTGATACGGAAAGGAAATGTTGACCAAGTCCGATTTAAATTGTTCGAGATTGGTGTTGGAAGTGGCTGCTGAACCACTTGTCTGGCTATTAAGGTATTAAAATTGAGTTTCGATTTCTAGTCGGTGGTCATTACTTCGTGGATGACAAAACTTAAGTCCCAATGAAAGCGCCTGCATTTGTAAGGTGTCTAGTCATATATTGGACAGGTTGTGTACATATCTTTCCGGATTTGATGGAAAGGTGTTCGGACATTCTTTCACGGTTATCTCGGGGTTACGCTTCTACCGACGTTACGTTGACGACATGTTCTGCATAATTGAACAGACGAACAACTTGCAATATGTCGTCGAGTGTTTTAACAAGGCACATCCCAACGCTGCATTCACAATTGAAGAAGAAATGGATAACCAAATGCACTTTTTAGATGCAAACTTAAAGCGACGAGACGATGGATCAATTCAGATAGGAGTCTATCGAAAGCCGTATTGGACAGGCCAGTACACACACTTCCGAAGTTTTGTACCAATAAGCCGAAAAAGAACACTGGTACATACACTAGCCAATCGTGCACGGAAAATCTGCAGTGAGGACACAATTGAAGAAGAAATGAAACAAATCAAGCAAACACTTCGCGAAAACGGCTATCCAGAACAATTCATTGACGTTCATATGAAGTCGAGTAGGCCAAAACCAACAGTACAAACAGCGGAAAAGAAACAGCTATTGCTCCAACTCCCCTTTAAAGGTGACACACCGGCGGAAATATGCACACGACGACTGATAAAGACTTGCCGGAAGACCTTTAATGCAGCTCAACTGAGGATCGTTTTTACAAGCAGTTCGCTCTTTGTTCCTAGGTTCAAAGACAAGATGCCTGATCAACGCCAATCAATGGTAGTCTACCGGTTTACCTGCTCCTGTGGGGCTAGGTACATTGGGCGCACGACCAGACATTTGGAAAAGCGAATCAAGGAACATTTACCAACGTCACTCGCCACCCAACGAGAGAAAACTCAGTTGAGTGCCATAACCAACCATCTGATCTGCACCAATCATCTGATTGATAAGCGCAAGTCTTTTGAGATCATCTATCGAGTTCCATCACAGCTACACCATCGGTCAGGAGCTCGGCTACTCGCTACCGCTGAAGCAGTATGCATCAGGTTGACAAAACCAAACCTATGCATTCAGAAGCAACATGTACAAGCCTTACAACTACCCTGGCCAGCCAGTAATAGAGATGAATCGGACTTCACTCATTGGTATCACATGTCTTCAGTCACCTGACCACCTGACACGTTACGTTAAGCACTTAAAATGTTTTGTTCAATCAATAGTTACTCTTTGTTTCCCCTATGAACTCCGCTTCTCAACGTATATTTCTGTACAAAGCTTGATGATGAATAAATCGAAAACAATTGTTCGCTTTAAGCGTACCGCTTGCGTTTCTTCTTGCAATGTATAAAAAATGGGCATACTACACGATAGTACATAATTAGCAAGCTTGACTTTCTTAGCACAAGAGTTATTAAAATCTGCATTCGAGTAAACGCTTTCATTTTTATTATTTTCTTTCACGAAGCACGTGAAGCAACCGCTCACTATATTGCTTTCTTTGCGCATATTCAATTCGCATTTGAAATTGTTTTTATACAGCAATGCTTTTAAGCCAGTATTTGTTGAACGGACCATTCGCCATTCATTTGGATTTAAACTGTTTACTCCAGTTATTCTACAGGACTTTTCAAGCACTGGCTTTATTACCCGTGAGAAAACAATGACCTATGTTACTTCGCTTGCCTACCTTTTCAGGACACTGCCCGCCGATACATTCTTGTATTGTAAATTCATTCGCTTATGCCTTGGTTCCACGGTTAGCTGAAGCAAACAATTCCACGTAAAAATCACATATTTCCTAATCTTGGTATAAACGCGGCTGCCATAAAATGTACTTTGCTTTACTCAAGGTCAGTAAAATTGCTGTTTATAAAGGACGTGTCCTTTGTTTTATTTCTCTCGGGGTCGGATAGACGCGTGTGAAGTCTGCGCTCAGTCTAAAAACACATTCAATTTGTTCGCAAATACAGTGTATGATTTCCAGCATTTTTCTAAATTGTAGTGGGATGAATCAATTTTGAAGCCCATTCTTTCCTACGGCTAAGAGAGTCGATGTCAGTTGGTTATTACACGTAGCATTACCAATACCCTATCAAAACGTCAGGCAACGGGCACGTAACTTATCCTCAACGAGAGGCTTACAAAGAGCATATGATTAATATAGTATTTCGGATGCGACCTACATTGCGCAGTCGTGGTTAATAAGACACACGTTTTCCCAATGCGCTTTGATAAAATCTGCATTCATTGGGTGAAAACGCTTAAATTATCGCTTTGTTAACTGTTCCACTAATCTTTACCAATTATGGACCACCAAATGCAAAACCCTCCGAAGGCATTTTGAAAACTTAAGTGCATTCTGATCAAGGTAACAAGTGATTTCAATGTACATTTTTAACAGCTCTTACAATAAGCTGAGAAAATTTCAGTGCTGCTATATAAAAGCTCTCAAGCTGTGTTACACTTTACACAAAGATTATTTTTTCCACTGGTTTCAAAACATGTAATGGACCATCGGCGCTGGAATTTGTGCTTACCAACGTCGCGTATATTTGTAAAATTGACGGTAAACTGTCCGTTGTGTCGCAGTGATCTTGTAGTTAACCTTCTCAAACTCATTTGTTATGTCGAATATCGAATGAGGAACCTGAGATTGTGCGAACATTACATGCTAATACCGCTTAACCAAGTTCCGCTGTTCCAAAGACCGACGGACATCGCCTGGCTGGAATACGTCATTAAAAATTGATTCTCTGATTAATAATACTTTAGTGACAGGTGCATTACATGGGCTCATACTGGTTCTTTTCGAACAGGATATAATTCAGAAATGAAAGATATCAATCCAAATGGCATTGCAAGAGCATGCATCAAAGCAAAATGCTGATATGCAAACAGCTACATAGCCCAACGTAGCCACTGCACTCAACTGCTCAGAGAATTCAAAGACGCGTATCAGAAAAATCATCGCGAAAGCCTTCCGCGTTCAACACAAATGCTGTGATATCATGTCATTAACGTTCTCAAGGTTAGGCAGTGAGTTCTGCTACACCGGACGGCTGACGGTCTAACAAGTACGGTTATAGAAACAAATGACGCAACGCCCATGCAAAATGCTCCAACAATTTAGAGCGTCTTACATAAAGCCGACCTTATAGCTTCGTTGCTCCACCGTTAGTGTTGGTCTACAGCTCCTTTAGTACCTAAGCTTTATAGCAAAATCCGACGTCTCTGCGTAACGAACGAAACCTGGGTTAAGATACCATTCGCAAAAGCCCTAGCACCAGCAAAATGGCAACTGACGATAACTTTGCGTCAATTATTTTAGCTCAGCATAAAAGTAAACCAAGTTACTGTTATGAGGAAGCTCGGAAAAATAACTGCGATTTCCAGAGGCAGAAGAAGGACAAAGCCTTAAAACTACCACTCAGTATCCCACCTACTTTGCTGTGTACAGCA